AAAAATCAATTAAAAATGAAAACAACAACAAAATTTCAGTCATCTTACATTCATTATAACAAAAACAAGACCAAGAAACTAGGCCACTGATTTTTTTCCAACACTGAGGCAAAAATAATGGAATTGACCTTAAAACAATATTTCCAATTTTTCAAAGAGAACAGGGTACAAGAGCCCATCCTACCTGCACACACCATGCAACCATTTTTCCACCATTTCCAACAACAACATACTGGTCCTAGGAAAAATGAGATATTTATTTTTTAAGTAAAAATAAACAAACAACAACAAAAATAACAATAGGTCTTATCATTTTTTATGTGAATTGGTACAATTCATTACTAGGTATTAGGAGAGAAAGATTCTGTATTGTTTTTATCTGAATAGAATGACTGCTGCTCAAGGAGCTGTTTTTTGCAGTGTTGGGGGCATAGCTTTATATCAGAAACAGGTATGATACAAGATGGGCAGATCAAAGGAGAGGGAAAAATTGGAGAAAAAAAAATTGCTAGGGAAGGCCGTGATGAGAAGGAACTGAGGCCATAGGGGGTCTAAAACCCTTTCACGGGAAAGGCTTCTGATGTGGTTGTTAACTTTTGGGATATAAGTTTTTATTTACTTCTGAAAGAAAGATGGAATTTTATATTGTTTAGTATTTGTGAAACTTTTCCATTTTTTTCCTCAAAGTTTTCCAGGTAAATCATGATTATACCAGTTGGTTAATGGCATAATAATATAATCATCACAAAATCTCGGTGACATAGAACTTAATTAGTACTATACTAGTCTTAAGGTTGGCTAGGGATCCAGGAATCGAAGCTGGGCTCAGCTGGAATGGTTCTTCTTTGCTAGACTGGCCATGCTGGTCTCAGCGGTACAGCACAGAGGCACAAGGACACACCCAGTTGCACAAGTACTTTTCAAGCCTCTTTTGTGTCACATCTTCTGACTTCCTATTGACCAAAGCAAGTCACATGGCCAGGCCTAGACTCTAAAGGTAGAAAAATACACCGTACCCTGAGACATAGTTTAGGACTGGGATGAAGGGAGGGTAGCAGAATTGGGGCCGTATGCAATCTACCACAATCATCATCATATTAACATTTGTATAGGATCTTAAATGTTTATTTGTGATTTCCAAAGTATTTTTCATTTCACTTGATCCTCACAATGTTGGGGAGCACGTCGTTAACAAAAACTGAGACAAAGAGTTTTCGTTCCAAAAGCTTTATTTACCAAGCTTGGTGTCCGTCTCACTCAAGAGAAAAACGGTGCCAAGTCCTGGCGGGTGAGGAATTTATAGCTGAAGCTGGATACAGAAGCAAAAAAAAAAAGCGGTTAGTGAGTAAAAAGAGGAAAAAATTTTAACAAACAGAGATAACTTATCTTCTAGCTAGCCATAAAACTTGGCAAGTTTATTTTCTTCTAACGAACTATAAATCAGGACTTAATTACCTTTTCCTAACAACATACCTAACTTATCTTTCCCTAACAAGCTATAAAACATACCTAGCTTATCTTTTTCTATTCTCTTGACAAGATACTTTGTTAATTTTTGCTGAAGCAGAAGTTTCTTTCATTCCTCTGGGCGGGGGTACTCTCCAAAATGAGTTTGCTTAGCCTAGGGTCTGGGCCTGGGTCCCCACAACAACAGCTCTGTGGGGATATTCTTTTTATTTTCCATATTTTACAGAAAACAGAATCAGAAAGTTAAGTCACTTACCTAAGATCACACAGTTAGTTAGCAGCATAAGGAGACTTTTTACATTTTTACAAAAAGTAATAGAAGGCAAAAGTGATAGACTTTTCCTAGCTTTGGTCATAGTTGATCATTCTTTTTCTTTTGTTTACAGGTGGAAAAAGGTGGAAGACAAAAAAAATGGATACGGGTCAAGAAACCAGAGGTAAAGCATACTGGGTTGAATAGGAGATTGTTTCTTCTTTGTTTTCTAATGACCAACTATCTATCTAAAATGGTTTCATTGTAGTCCTGCCTAGAATGAAAAGATAAAGTTCACCTCAAAATAATTGCTACATCATTACAAATACCAAGGAAAGGACAAAAAAATTAATAAGTAAAGTCCATATACACAAAAAAGCAGCCTCAGCTAAAGTTAAATCATGGTTTTTTTTGTTTGTTTTTTAAAGATTTTATTAGGGAATTGGGGGAGGGGAACAGCGTTAGGGAATTGGGGAAGGGGAACAGACAAGTTGCTGTCCTTTTGTTCTTCAGTCTAGTTGTGCAGGATGTTGCTTCACCGGCCCATGTTGGTATTATCACTGCGCTCCTCCTTGGTGAGGCAGTCGCTCACTGACTACCAAATGGCTGCTCACGGCAGTTCACAGCAGCTCATGAAAGCTCATGCCAGCTGCCAGCCAGCCCCACTGCAGCCTATGTTGTTGCCAGCGACTCATGGCAACCCAGTTCCAGGTTGAGCTGTTGTTCACCATCTTAGCTGTAGAAGGCACAGCATCACTGGCCCTAATGTGGGATCCGAACCAGGGCCCTGCTGCTTAGAGCTGGTGTCCCAAGCCAACTCTTAACCAACATGCCATTCGGTCAGCCCTAAATCATGTTTTTTAGATGAGTAGGCCATAGTAGTAATTACAAAAAATTTTTGAACATACACCCAGTGTATGTGAATATATTCACTTATAAATAATACACTGCTGTACAAATAAATGCACCTTAAAAACAAAATTTTGGGCTGGCTGAGTGGCTTAGTTGGTTAAGGGTGCAAGCTCTGAGCAACAGGGTCGCCCATTCAATTCCTCCATGGGCCAGTGAGCTGTGCCCGAGCTGAGCTGTCACTGATCTGGTGAGAGCACTTAGCAGTAAGGTTGCCAGTTCAACACCTGTATGGGATGGTGGGCTGCCTTCCACCCACCCACCCCCAACCCCTGCCAACTAAGATGGAACATGGCACCTTGAGCTGAGCAGCCCTGAGCTGCTGATGGACAGCAATGGTTGGATAGCTCAGTGTGCAATAAGGTTGCTGGTTTGACTCCCGCATGGGATGGTGGACTATGCCCCACCCTGCAACTAGATTGAAAGTGGCGACTGGACTTGGAGCTGAGCTTGCGCCCTCCCCAACTAAGATTGAAGGACAACAACTTGACTTGAAGCTGATGGGTCCTGGAGAAACACAGTGTTCCCCTTCCCCAATTCCCCAACACTAGTCCCCTCCCCAGTTCCCCAATAAAAATCTTTAAAAAAATTTTTTTTAACACAAATAATATTTTAATAATTGTCACCATTAATCTTTAATGGAATAATGTCACTAAATACACTTCATTATTTTTGAAAATTTTCATTTGGTTTTAATGGCATATTAGCTGGAAAAGACTCACAAAGAGCAACATACACAGTTAAACGCATATGGAGAGGTTCATCATTAATGATATCAGGTGTAAGTCTGTATTTCAAATAGTCTTCTTTTAAAATTAAAGTTTATTAGGGTGACAATGGTTAGTAAATTCACATAGGTTTCAAGTGTACAATTCTGTAATACATCATCTATATATCACATTGTGTGTTCACCATCCAGAGTCAGTTCTCCTTCTATCACCATATATTTGATCCCGTTTACCCTCATCTACCATCCCCTCCCCCCTTACCCTCTGGTAACCACTAAACTATTGTTTATGATAGATGACTGGATAAAGACGATGTGGTATGTATACACAATGGAATACTATTCTGCCATAGAAAAGATGAAATAGTGCCATTTGCGACAATATGGATGGATCTTGAGATTATGATGCTAAGCAAAATAAGTCAGACAGAAAAAGTTGAGAACCATATGATTTTACTGTTATATGGGATATAAAACTGAAAGCAACAGAAGAAGACAAACAAACAAAGAAACAAAAATTGATAGTCAAATAGTCTTTTTAGTACTACTGATTGGGGGGCAGGGCTGGCTTCCTGTCATATCTGTTTTTAAGCCCACGATGTGGCTGATGAACAGCTTCTACTGGGGTTAGAAGTGTAGACTGTCATTTTCTTATTCATTGGCATTGCACTTTGGCATTATTTCCCGTCCAGCATTCATTTCACTATGCAAATCACTAAACCACTTGTCCACTTGTGAAGATTACGTTAGCTAAAACTAGATCATATAATCCGTAATGTTCCTTTATCAGGCACATGCATATGATCCTCTATCTTAAAACAAAACCCTCTCTTGACCTCACAACCCCCTCTAATTATCACCCCATTTCTCTGTGCCCCTTTACATCTAAACTCTCAAAAATTTCCTATGCTCAATTTCTTTTTTTCCATTGTTTCTTGAACCCAGGCAGGCTTGAGTTCCCACCATTCCACGAATATTACATTTGTCAAAGTCACCATCTTACTGGAGAAGCATTAGACACAGCTGCTGGTGGCTCCTTCCTTCTCTTTGCCTGTGCTACCATTTTCTGGGTTTGTTCTTGTCTTGTACTTCGCTGGCCACATCTTCTCATCTCCTTTACTAATTCGTCAACATCTGCCCAAATGCTAAATGTTGGAGGGTTCACACCCTCCAGCGGCTTTATAGTTCATTCAGAGAATAAGCCAAAGTCTTTACAGTAGTCTACAACGTGTTCCTACATGATCGATCGCCTGCCCCTCCAATAGTTAAACCCCACCACCTGCTATTCTCCCTCCAGCCACTCATTCCCTTCAAGCCACACCAGTCCCCCAGACCAAAAGCACGCCACACATATACTTCTACCCCCCAGCTTTTTTCCTGGCTATTTCCATGACACTTCACCTCCAGATATCTGCATGGCTTGCTCACTCATCTTCAGGTTACTGCTCCAAAGTAAACTTCTTCCCTGACAACCCTTTACAAAACAGCAATCCTCCCCTTTCTCTCTCCACAACCTCTGCCTCTCTCACCCTGCATATGTTCCCATCTATGACATGTCACCTTATGTCATACTATGTATTTATTTTTTTATTCATTTTTTTGTGTGTCTTCTATTAAAAATGTAAGCTCTGTGACTTTGTGCTATTCACAGTTGTATCCCCAGGAGATAGAACAGTGCCTTGCACATAGTAGGCTCTCAATAAATATTTAATGAATGTGCTGTGAGCACAGGCACAAGCACCAATCCATGTTTAAATACTAGTAAAGATTACTTTCTTTCTACGTTTTCAATAAAACATATAAATTAATATAATTTCTATTATTTTACCCACTGGATTATCTTTACACTCTCAGGGTATATGTAACCCACTTTGAAAATTATTGGCTAACAAGAATGGTTTTCAGTCTTTAAGGAGAATAAGAATCCTTACAGAGCTTGTTTAAAGTACAGAGTCCAAGGTCTGCTCCTAGAGATTCGAATTCAGAGGTCCACTGCTTGGTTCCCAGGATCTGCATCTAGAAGATGATGCACCTCAGGTGGTTTTGATGCAGATGGTCTAGAGCCATAATTGGGAATACCTGATTCATGTATCAGTAGTCTTCTTTTTCAGCTTCTAACTCCAGGCTCAAGAAAAATGGAAAAAACTTCTACAGTATGCCTCAGTTAGCTCACACACAGAATAATTTAGGCCCCATGCTTGCTAGCCAAGTGGTTCTCAAAGCTTTGGATTATGAAAACTATATCTAGAAATCTAGTCTGTATCAGTCAGTATTGGCTAGGTTATGCAGCAATAAAAACCAATCCCAAAATCTCAAAACCACAACAAAAGTTAATTTTTGCTCATGAAGAGTTTACTATGAGTCTGGGCAACTCTCCAGGGCTGCTGTCCTCCATGTGTTCGCGCAGCATTCTAGGCTGCTTTGCTTCTATGGTATCTCTTCAACATGTTTCCATGGTGACCAGGCAAAAGAAAGTTGGGTCGTTGAGCACTGGCAATTAAACGATTTTACCTGAAACCAATACATGTTACTTCAGTTTACATTTTATTGACCATGGCAAGTCACTACCACGTCCAACCTCAAGAAGGAAATGCAAATGTTCTCATTTGCCTGGAAGTAGAGTAAAATAAGATTTTCATAAATAGTATTAATGTTTACAGCAAAGATAAACATTAAAAAATACTTAGATCTACTACCCCATCTTATACCATCAACTACACACATAATAGTGGTTGTTATTTTAATATATGTTATTATGGGAGGGAAGGAAGTGACAAAGTTAAACCGGAGACAATTTAAATATTTTTGCTTCTTATTAATCTTAATAGCATCTGCATACATTGGAAAGATACATAAATGCATGAGGCACAGTTTATTTCTCTCATCAGGCAAAGACTGGTATACAAACGCATTTGCAAACCCCTTTAATAACAGCCTCAAAAATCATCAGCCAATTGCTCTAGACATTGAAGACCCATAGATACATATGATATGCCCAGTCCCTTTAGAGTTAAAGCCTATCATCATCATCTTTCACACAGTGTAGAAACAAACTTTCCTCTTATGGTCCCCAGCAAGTGCCCCACAATAATTCCTATCTCTCTTTTGATTAGTGTTCTTATCAACAGCCATTGTGTTAGTGTTAGTCATTACCATCGACTTGAAGTTTAAAATGATAATATTATCATAAAATTATTCCAGCTTACCATAAGAAATTGTAGGAATAGGAAACTGATTAATTCCTAAGGCAATCTTCTCCACAATGCTTTGATTACATCTTTTCCTTTCGCCTCCTCAAACTTGTTTAAACAATGTTGCTTCCTCTCTCTTAAAGCTTCCATCTTTCTCATTCTGTTAGATTCCTGATTTTTGCCTATAATCATGATGAAACCTCTTCCATCCTAACAACAAAAACCTTCTTGACTCTGTGTTCCTTTATGTTACTATCCCATCCCTTTTGTATCCTTCAAAGCCTAACACTTAATCTTTTCTCTTTCATTTTCTCAATGAAAGCTTAACATTGTTTTTCATTTAATTATTTTTTATCAAATTAATTCAGGTATATAGTTTACGAAGGCAAATAATACCATGAGGCTTAAAACTATAGTGATGTTGAAAATGTTTAACAATTGGTTGTGCATGGATACTGACCAGTTAGATAAGATCATCAACCAATTATTCTTGCTCATAACATAAAACACCCCTATCACACCCCTCCTAACCCCTGGTTCTCTCTGTTCTCTCTGTCCAGTGACAACCATTTTCAAATCTTTGCTGTTTCTTTTACTATTTACTATACATCAGACTCCTTAATAACATGTTCATACAACCATTTCTTTTAACCAATCCCCTGGATTTTTAGCCACTTCATCTTCTTCAGAGGTACTAGGTGCCCCAATCCCTACACTTTTCTGGGGGTTCTGTGGGGTGAATTTGCTTTATTCTTATGGCCCTCCCTTATTATGTTTGGGTTTCAGTTCCCTCTGGTCTGATAAATTCCTTACCACCAGCCCTTCTGCTTTCTAGCTTCCAACACTTTGATAACATCTGGAGTCTCGAGTCCTCTTTGACCTTATTGATTATGTGTTTTTTTAAAAAATTCTTTTACTCTAATTTTATTGGTGCTTGCAGAAAAAGCAGAGTTTGTTTTTTAAAGCCTGTGTTTAGTTTGTCATGCCAATGAAAAGGGTTAGCCTATACTCTGCTTCCATTTCGTCACTTCCCATTCTGGCCTCAACTTACCAGTGTCTGGTTTCTGCCTCTAACACTCAGCCAAAACTACTTCTTTGAAGGATCCTGATGACCTTTGCTCATCAAATTCAGCGGCCTTTTTTCAGTCTTCAGCCTCTGAAGCTTTCCGCAGCATGACACACTCTAAGCAAGGGAAGCAAAGTCTCTTTTGCTTGCTCCGTATCTTCAAAGTTTCCTCCATCTTTTGTCTTTGTCGGGTTTTTTTTTTGTTTGATTTTGTTTTCACCCTTCATTTCATGAATACCAGGCCCACCATGTCCCTGAAGCGAGTCTGAGCTGGGAGGAAGGAGAAGCTTTCAACTAAAATGAAGGTTAGAGTTTCAATGATTGTACAGGGCTGGACATTTGTGTAATTGTCTTGGTGTAGAATTAACCCCTTGTCATTCACAGAAAGTAAACGAATTAATGAAACTCTACAAGAGTATCCAGAGACAAGATTTATTGAAAGTAGAAAGAGAGAGAGAGAGTTTTGTTTGGAACTAGCAGAAATTTTGCCAGGGCAGTCTGAGAGGGAGAGCTGCGGAGACAGAAGGGTAAGAGAGATACTGGCAGAAGTTTGCTAGGGCAGTCTGATGGAGACAGTTGCAGAGACAGAGGGGTAAGAGAGAGATGCTGGCAAGTTTAGCCAGGGCAGAGTCCTATGGGGGACAGCTGCGCCGATGAGGAGTGTTGGGGTTTTATATTTTTCCAAGCAGGGTGTAGAGTGCTTCTCAGCTTGCAGGGGGGCTGCCATAACCATTGTCTTCTCTTGGGAACTGTCCTGTTCCCATCTATGATGGATGTTTATTAGTGTGCGGGGGCGGGGGGTTGCCACTGCAACTGTGAATTGTTCTGTCCTCACCTGTGATGGATGTAAGGTGCTTGTCAGCTTGTAGGTACAGTGCTACCCGGGGGAGTCAGAGTCAAGTGGTTAATGTTTAGCTCATGCCTGTTAGCCCACAAGCTCGCTCCTGTTAAATCTTTGCCTGTCCCATCCTGCCAGCTCACAAGCCCACTCCTGTTAACTCTTTACTTGTCTCATCAGTAATTGTTATATGATTGTTCCTGGGACTAAAAGTCTTTTAAATTTTTCCTTTTGCCCCAGTCTAAGAGGGACTGAAAAGCTATGACACTTGCCCAAGTTTCTATACAAAGATCACGGGAAAATGAGACCTCAGAAAGGATTTAAAGGGATAAAGGCAGGAAAGAATCAAGTTGTTTTATCCTTCCTTGCACCCAACTGAAATATCGCTCTTTCAATATAGGGTGATAAATAAAAGGGTGGTAGTCTCTGCATCAGGGTACTTACAGTTTTGTCAGTGGAAAATACAGAAGATAAGTAATTACAGAAATTTCAAATTTAGTAAGTGTTACATGGAACCATGAAAGGTATGTAACTGGTAGATTTCATTCTAGATCAGTGTGTCAAAAGCCAATGTAGTGAATGACCAATTTGTCCAATTTTCTTGCTTCTATGGCTATTTAAGAAAGTTTATTGAAAAACACATTGGATAGAATGACTTTCACCGCTTCTGCAAATTTTTGCATGGCTTTAATTGACTTGTTTCTACTTGTCTTCATAACAGCACTTAAAGATTGTTCGATTTGTTTCTGCCCCAGCTGTTACTGCAGCTGGAGGGCACTATGAAGACTGGTGGGTTCTCATTGCTGGGCCTGGGGGCACTAGAAGACAGAATGCCCATCCTCCAGAGGGGGCCATGAGGACACGGAGAGAGTGCACTGAATTTCCACAACAGACTTTTGACCCAATTGGCCTGTTTCCGGCCCACATCGTATTCCTCTGGATCCCTGCAGGTCTACTTGGCCTCCTTCCTGTGTGATTCAATCTCCAGAAAGACCGTCCTCAAATGCAAATTTGCTTCCCTGCTTACAGTCCCTCAGCGGCTCCCTCAGGACCTGCTCCCTTATCCCCCACCCCATCTCACTCTGTTCTCCTGGCTCAGGCATACCGTTCTCTTTCTCACAGTCCTGCCGGGAGTGCCTACCCACCACCCCTCTGCCAGCTGCCTCCTCCTCAGTGCCCTCAGAACTCAGCCAGACATCAGCTGTTCCTGGAAATGTTCCCAAGTGTCCTAGTCAGTGAGGGGCCGGGGACACTGTCCTAATGGTACCCTGGCCCATATGTGTCAGAGAGACGTCAGTCAGGTTTGCCTGAGTCCTTTCAGGTCAGTGTGCTCCTCAGGACTGGGACTTCAACTTCTCTGGTCCTGGCCTGAGGCCACTCCCTGGGGCAGAGTGGTGCCTCCTAACTCGTATATTGAATTCATTGATAAACAAGCTAAGGATCTGTCTTCCAAGCTTCAGACACACATTTCCCTTTGCTACATAGTATCACCAGATGCAGGTCCTTCAGGTACCTCAAACTCAGCAAGCAGGTCCCAAATCAAATTCATTATGCCCTGCTCTAACTTAATATCTATTTTCATTAATGGCATTACACATCCTTACTATCACTCAGCCTCAAAACCTAGGGCCCACCCTCAACTCCTACATGGATTAAATTGTCCAATCCTATTGCTTTTGCTTGCTCGAGTGTCTTTCGAAACCATTCTCACGCTCCACTCCCGCTGTTCTTCCTCCTCAGCTGCCTGACCAATGACCACCCCATTTGAAGCACACACACACCACAGGCCCGTCAGTTGGGATGGCTCACGCGTCCCTAAACACATTTGCACCATCGCTCCTGGGTTTTGTTAGCAGCAGCCCTGTGCTAGCACCTGTCCTTCCTCCCTTGCTCAGGTGCTTCCACCTCCATGAGGTCTTTTAAATCCCCCTCGAAAGATTTATCCTCTCCCACTTTGGACCTCCAAGAGCCCCGTGTCGTATTTGTACCACTGTTATGTCACTTAGCACAGCCTGCCTTGTACCCCAGTGATTGTGTGCATTTCTACCTTATCGCCTAGATACCAAGTCCTTAGAAGACAGAGCCCATGTCATGTTCATCTTAGCAGGATTTTGCGCACAGTAGGAGTTTAACAAATAATTTTGCATTTATTAATAGAATTAATCAGTTTCAATCATCAAGTCACTCCACGAGACTCTATTTAGCACCAAATTTGTTACTTGTTAATGTGACTAATGAGACGCACTGATTTCTTCAAAGGCAGAATTTTATGCTGGCTTTGAATAATAATAGTTCCCACTGATTTCATGCCTAGTACCCGCCAAGATGCTATGACTATCTTTGCAATAACCTTGCAAAAGAGAATATGTTATCCCCATTTTACAAGTGAGGAAACAAACATTCACGAGGGTAAGTAACTTGCCCAAGACCATACGTGTATAAGTGTAGGTGCCTGACTGAGACTAAGACCACATCCTCCTCATCTGTACCATGAGGTAGGTGAGCCTGTTTTGTTCCTTTCCATCATTTATTCATCTTCAAAAAATGTTTAGCTTGTTGTTAAGTTAATGTTTATTTTGTGTTTTTTAGGTCACTTTGCCATCAGACATGCCTCAAAATGACCTGGTGGACAAAAAGTGCTTAACTGAAAAATACACACACCTCTCCTGCCGTAAAGTCTTCTGCCAACCATGGCAGAAATGCATCGACGGGACTTGCATTTGTAAACTCCCTTATCAGTGCCCAAGGAATGGTACCACAGTGTGTTCAACTAATGGGAAAAGCTACTTGACTTACTGTCAGCAAAAGAGTTTTGAATGTATTCGTCCAGAGGCAAAGTTTTTAAATAATGGAACATGTATAGCTGGAGGTAGGAAAAGCCTCAGTTACTCTATGACATAAAAAGGAAATTGTCTGCCATACTTTTTTTTTTTTAAGATTTTATTGGGAATTGGGGAAGGGGAACAGAGAAGCTGCTGTCCTTTTGTTCTTCAGTCTAGTTGTGGAGGACATCGCTTCACTGGCCATGTTGGTATTATCATTGTGCTCTTTCCAGGTGAGGCAGTTGCTTGCCGGCCATTGGACGGCCGCTCACAGTGGCTCATAGCAGCTCACAAAAGCTCACGCCCACTGTCAGCTAGCCCCACTGCAGCCTACACTATCGCCGGCGACTCATGACAGCCTCATGGCGACTCATGGGAGCTGTTGTTCACCATCTTAGTTGTAGAGGTCGCAGGTCACTGGCCCTCATGTGGGATCTGAACCAGGGCCCTGCTGGGGTCCCAAGCCAACTCCTAACCAATGCACCACTCTGCTGGCCCGTCTGCCATACTTTCTATTAGAAAATGCTTTTCCCATAAAATGTTATGATGACATGTCAAAATTCTTCTCTAGATTCTCAATAGTAATTGGGATGATAACTAAAGAAATCAGGAGTCACCAGAATGTAGTCAGACTGTGCGTCAGAGCCGGAGGACCTGAGGCCAGTCCCCTCAGTGCCCGGGCCATGCTTTGCCACCCAGCTCTTCAAAATTGCTCCCACCCTAACTTCTATTTAGCTAAAGGGTCATTGCGTTGGTTCAGAACCCAGAGAAAAAGTCTTTACATGAAACTGGTACTGATATGGAGCCCCTCTGTGGACTTCTAGCCTCAATAACTTCTTCCAGCATTCATCCCTTGAGACTCTACTGCTGTCCCTAGGACCGACTCCACTGGCCCCGATCTAAGGGGCGCGCAGGCCACTGCTGACCTAAGACAGACACATCAGATCTGCGAGCTTGTCTACACTCCATCCACATGCCTCATGTTGTAAGGAGGCGGGGATGCTAATATGTAGATCAGTGGAGTGGTTAAGATCAGGGATCTCACTGTCAGTCAGATTTCATTGCAAGCCCCTCGAAGCCCCACCTTGGTTATTGACCTCTTGGGGACCCGGTTTCCACATCTGTAAGATGTGACTCACAGTCATTCCTAACTCATAAGTCTCTTGTGGAAATTCAATAAAATGCTGTATGTAGAGCCCTTCACACAGCTTTGGCACACAGAACATGCTCATGAAATTTTAGCTAGGGCAGCCAGCCTCCAGTTTGCTGTCCTCCGATATCAATTATCACAGGCACTTGATGAATTTACAGAGGAATGCTTAACATATTCTTTTTAAAGACACCCTGATATACACCAGCTCACAGTAGCCTAAATATGTTTGTGATGCTGAGTTAAGATGTTGAGGTACTGAGGAAAAGGAGAAAGAAAGCTCCCTATTTGAGCTCATCTCTATTACCTGCTGCAGAGGAGGAAAGTAATAGTGGAGATTATTTTGTCAGTGTTAGGCTTTTGTTCTCTTGAGACATTAAATGCCTTAAATGATATGAGAATACACAAGCCCTTCTGACATTTTCATTATTTGTTTGGCTTACTTTTAAGAGGACGGACTTTGGAGTGACATTGATAAAGCAGGCTCTGATACCCGGTTTCACCACTTGAGCGAGTAACTTAACCTCATGTATAAACATGGAGGAATTTAGGTTCCATGCATGTAAAAATGGGGATAAATATTGGCCTAATCTTCACAAGATTGGTGTGAAGATATAACTGGGTAGCACAGCCACTGACACATAATAAGCCCTCATAACATAATTGCTTACCATTGCTTGTTAAAATCTTCATGGTTTTCAAAGTTACTTTGAAATGATGTACTTTATTATTTTAAAGGCTTTTAATCAAGAAGAGGAAAGTGAATGCCTAAATATTGCTTATTATTTTAATTTTATTTTAGGACAATTTAATGTTTCCTTGAAATATGGAAATAAAGATTCAGAGGGAATTGTTGAAGTAAAACTTGTAGACCAAGATAAGAAGATGTCTATATGTAATAGCAGCTGGCGCATAACCCAGGCCAATGTGGCCTGCCTTGACCTTGGATTTCCACAGTGAGTGCCTGTATCAGGGGATTTTCCCAGGGTTGATTTTATTGTGGCAACTACTTACTTGCCTTTTGATTACCTAATCTTTCTGCACCTCAATTTCCTTATAGGTAACCTGAGAATATTAATGCCTGCCTCAGAGCATTGTTATGAGGATTCAGTGTGCTCGTGTTTGACTAGTGCTTAGCACAGAGCAACCAAGTCTGTTTAAGTACCTGGATACAAATTCTTTGCTGATTAGAACTACAAAT